CCTTCCTTCCTTCCTTCCTTCCTTCCTTCCTTCCTTCCTTCCTTCCTCCCCTCCCCCCTTTAGCCAATAGGATGTTTTTTATTAGCCAGTTTACAATTACACTGGATGTTCGGGATCCCCAGTGGTGTCCTGAGTTTTTCTCAGGGTGAGCTTTTAAGAATAAAACTGCATCCTGTGCTGACACACCTCTTTTAGCAAGAACAGTTAGCCAGAAGCAAAGGTACAGATGCCAAAATGCAAGGTTAGAAGATTTGTAGACTTTCCCAGAACTGTGGACTCTGATGGATTAAGACTTTGTTCTCATTTTGGCAGGTGGCACTGCCTATGTGCTGGGTTCCAAAACTTAAATAGTACTTGTATCATGGTGTCAGTTGTAGTAAGGGCCTCTGTTACACCGCTCCACCTGGACCTTCCTAACACAAACACATCTCTGTCTCATGTTCATGTCACTGTCTTCTCCTTCTCTTCTCCTCTTCCTCCTCCTCCTCTTCCTCCTCCTCCTCCTCTTCTTCCTCCTCTTCTTCCTCTTCTTCCTCCTCCTCCTCCTGCTGCTGCTTTCCCCTTCTCCTCTATCTGGAGTCATCTACTAGAACATGGGCAACCAGTGGCCACATTTTCAAAAGAACCCCGCCCCTCTGCTTTCTCAGCAGCTGCCAGCAGACAAAGTAGCTCATTGCTTATGGGTAGGGCCTCATGAACCCTTGCTCCATCCACACTGGAATGCTGACCATCTTCAGCTCATGCAGGCAAACCACAGCTGCTATGAAGTCTATTTAAAAGATTTTTTTTATTGGTTATTTTATTTATTTACATTTCAAATGTTGTCCTTCTCAGTCTCCCCTCTGCAACCTCCATCCCCTTCCCCTCCCCTTTTGCATCTATGAGGGTGCTCCTTCACCCCCTCCCTCCCTTCCTCCCTCCCTCCCTCCCTCCCTCCCTCCCTCCCTTCCTCCCTCCCTCACCACTCTACTATCCCCCTATGCTGGGGCATCAAGCTTCCATAGGACCAAAGGCCTCCCCTCCCACTGATAAGGCTGTCCTCTGCTACATATGTAGCTGGAGCCGTGGGTCCCTCCGTGTGTGCTCTTTGGTTGGTTGTTTAGTCCCTTGGAGCTCTGCGGTGCTAAACTGCATAGAACCACTTGAAAAGATAATAAGGACCATTCTACTACATGCAGAATTCACAAATTACAAACTTGGGTTTCAAATCTTACTTTATTTTTGAGACAGGCTCTCTCTGTGTAGCCCCTCCTGTCTTTGAACTCCCTATGTAGAGTAGGAGGGCCTCAGACTCACAGAGATCCACCAGCTTCTGTATACACCAAGAGCTGAGGGAGGTTAAAGGCATGGACCACCATGCCAAGCAAAATAAACCAAACCAAATACTGATGCTTTGACGTCATAATCTTCACAAACGTGCTTCAGTTAATAGTCACCTACCCCTTGCAGCAATCTACTCACCTTTAACTCCTGAAGCTTATCCACATAAACTTGTTTAGGCTGGTCCTCTCCTTCTTCATAAAGCCAATTTTCTGTGTCTTCTAACATTGCAGACAGCTTATTCATGTCCTAAGTTACACATTTAAGAGATACTAATTACAAATGCCTTTCTTAGAAAAAAAATCATTGAGATGCTCTTTAGCTCAATGCCAGAATCTTCTGACCTTAATTCATAAACATGTTTTCATTGTCCTTCTGCAACTTGAAAAATAACTAAGAATCATCTCCTCATAGGCTCAAAAATTGACAATAACAAATTTGATATACTTTTAAACATAACTCATAGTAGGACTTTCAAGTGAACACTCAAGTAGTTCTTACAACTTTAGACTTACTTCTGGAGTGATGAACTTTTCGTAGACAGTGCCCAGTTTGTCTCTGAAATCATAGACATATTCTTCCACGGCATTCTTAGCATCATTTCTTTCTTTCTCTAATTTATCCTGCATTATCATCTTCCCCTATTAAAAATGTTTCAGATTGTCAAAACAACACACATTAGAGAACTGCTAGTTAAAACCATGATACCACTTCATACCTCCTAAGAGGAGCATATTTAAAAAATAAGCCAGCATAGAATCTTTGTGATTGTAGAGAAACTGAAGCCCGGAACACTGGTGACAATAAAACATTCCATATCAACGGACCACAGGAACAGTGTGGAGGGCCTTCAAAAATAATGAACCATAAGCTGGGCATAGTGGTACAGACCTCTGATCCCAGCAGGGGAATCTCTGAGTTTGAGGCCAGCATGAGCTACATAGTGAGACACTGTCTCAAATAATAAATAAATGAATAAAGTAAAAATATATATTAAATAAATGAATATAAATTCAGAATGATAATTTTCCTTAAATGTAGCAATTCTAATCTTGAGGATATAGCCAAATGAATGGGAAGTAGCCACTTCACAGATATTTGTATGCCAGTGATTCCTGAGGCATTATTAACTATCACCATAAGTACAAACTGAAGCATCCATTAACTGATGTACTGATAAATGATATATGTACAATTCTGTCATATATACGACAGAATTGCGGCTTAGAAGAAGTTTCACATATCAGTGAGCCCTGAGATTATGCCGAGTAAAACAACCCAGGACAAAAGACAAGTATTATTTGATTCAATTTATGTAAGCTACATAGTGAGGCAGACTCTTAGGAGACGGGAAACAGGTGGGTGTTCAAGGAGAACTGAAAGAAGGGAGGAGAGGAGAGTTTGATTTCATGTTACAGTATCTCCATCTTGGACAGCTGTAAGCCTTGGAAATAGTGGTGATTATCGTGCAATGCTAATAGTGAATACTAACTTGAAAATATATGTGAAAATGGTCTTAAAGTTTTCTGATCTATAAACTACAACCCTTAACAGAACCTACACATTGTGTTTGTCTTGAGGATTTAAAAGACGGTAGTAAGAACTGTTATGATCAAAACCAAGGAAAGAATTAAATTGTAATTCTTGAACAAAATTTCACTTAAAAGTACTTGGTTTTCCAAACACAGTGATTCCTTTATAAACTATGATACAGTAGCACAGATTTAAAAAGAGACATTTAAAAATTAATAAAAGTCCCATTTTGCACATAAACCTACTTTAACTTTAGCTTCCTACAGTTAATTCCTTTGGGAAAATTAGGCTCCAAATATATAAATTCTGAGTAGTATATGAGATTTTTTAGGGAGTATTATGCATGAGTAGAGCCTTGTTAATAGGTATTATGCATTGGTACTTTTAAAAAAGCAAGCCCTGTAGAATCAAAATTTCTTCATGTAATGATGGGCAGTTAAACAGTTGAATGCAACATGCTTCAAACATTAGGAACATGTAGAAATTAGGAACCACCATTTCAATATAAATTTAAGGGATAAATATAAATATAATCATGGTTTACAGTTAGTACTAAAGAAAGAACTCACTTCTCAAAAGTCTGGAACTAAACATGAAAATAGACAAGAGCAGGTAAAAATGTTAACAATGGCAACAACGTTTAAATCATTGTTAATCAACACTATGAACAGTCTTTTAAGTATTACACACTTACAAAGCGGGCTTGGTAGGCCAGGAGGGATGTTACCTGCCTGTGATCTCAGAACTCAGAAAGCAGAGGAAGGAAGGTCTGGAGACTCAAGGTAGTGGGAGCTACACAGGAAGACCCTGCCTCAACATCTCCCCCAAACAAGACAAAGAATCCCCCAAACCAAGCCAAAACAAGACAACAAAGGGGGGTGTTGTTATTTTATTACTCTTAAAGGCTACAAAAGATGGAGCCAGAAGTGGTGGCACATACTCATAACCGTAGCACTTAGGAAGTAGAGACAAGAGGATCAAGGATTCGAGGTTATCAGTTACACAGTGAGTTTGAGGTCAGCCCAGGCTCTTTGAGCCCTGGCTTTAAAAAGGGGGTGGGGTAAGAATTCACTTCAGAAGGCTTTTTTCTCTAAAGTAGATACTTTTTCATATAACTAAAAGTATTATATATGGTACGAATATAACTTACTATTTTGTCAAAAGCAGTTTAATGATGTTTATAATTACTTAACAATTGCAGACCAGATTGCCTAGATATCATAGATAACCTTTAACTCCAATACAGTATCAGAGTGCATTTGTGCTATTCTACAGCAACACCAACGTACATACCTCATTTTCAATGTAACTATTGAGAAGATCTTGAGTCAGTTGTCTGTACAGGCTACTCTGGATCGGTAGATCAATACTCTTGATTTTCCCTTTTTTAATAGTTTGATTTATGCGATCTTGCTTGTCTGAAGGAGGTGCCTGTAAAAGAAATTCAAATCAAAAGTAAAATTTCCTAAAACTAACAAATAAACATTTTGGAGGTAAAACAAAAAAGCAAAGCCAAACAAACCTATTGCTTCTCTACTTTAAAGTATAGACAGTATGGGCTGGGAACGAAGCTCAGTAGTAAAGTGCTTATCTAGCATGGACAAACTCTGGGTCCAGTTTCCAGTATCACTCCCATGCTTATACACACACACACACACAAACACACAAACACACACGTTCTAATAGCCTTTTATATTCACTTTAATGCTAAACCTTTACTACATTTGCAATATGGAGTTGGAAATCCAAAGCTGTAATGAACTACTACTTCATATACAATACTATGGTTATAATTCTTGGCAAAGGAAAACAAATATAGGTGAGGGTATGGTGAAATTGCAACCCTTCTCATAAACTACTGGTGATATTATAAACTATATAGTGATTGCTGCCAGTTCTTAAAACAGCTGAGCCACTGAGATTACTCATTGTCACTTGCTGCTAAGCCTGATAACCCAAGTACAATCCCCAGGACCCATATGCAAGTTGTCCTTCTTGACTTCCACACAGTATGTCTAGCAATTCCATTGATGTGTCCAAGAAAATAAAAATATACACATAGAAAACTGTGTGTCAAAAGTAACATTCTCAATAGGAAAACTACACTGTAAATGCTCATCACCAACACATGCCCTGATCAATGCAGAAATCTTACCAGGTTTTACATAATTGTCAAATCTGAGGAAATAATCCCACAGCTGTGCTGTCTAGCTAGACTTCTGTCTGTGGCAGCAGAGTGTCATGACGGGAGCATGGAGCCGGAGCTGCACTCACCATGAACTATCTCCCCAGCCTACATTCATCTTATTCAGAGACTTGAATGAGGAAGGGAGGCCTAAGAAGTCGATGGGATCTGGTGCTCTCACGGGAGCAGACCTGGAATGTGATTAAGGTGTAAGCCACCTTACTTCCCTGCTTACTTCCCTGCTTAGCACCACGGTTGGCTCAGGTGCTCACATTCAGATAGTTTTAGCTGAGTGTGGCAGCACAGGCCATTAATTCCAACACTCTGGAAGCAGAGGCAGGCAGAGCTCTGTGAGTTCTGCCTGGTCTACACAATGAATTTTAGGCTAGCCTGGGTTACATAGTGGGACCTTGTCTTTCTATTCCCTAAAGATATTTTTCAATAGACCAAGTCTTGATTTTATTACTTAAAAAAGCTGCATATTTACTTTGCTTTCTGACTCTGCTTGGGCCGTCAACACTGTCACAACGATTCTGCTACTCTATAAGGAACACCCACTTGATCCTGTGGTGGACACACTTGGCACACAGGGAACCACCATAGGCCCTGCTGATGTGCTTCTCACAAGGACTCTGGGTCTCACAGCACGAATGCCTTGCAGTCTTCCCAGGCACACACCACATGCGGGTTTAGGTGCTTTCCCAACCTTCTTGGTATAAAGGTAAACAATCCTGTTGCCAGGGGTTCGAGACAGCCTAGTTTTGTTAGAGGCTATATCTAAGCACTGTCCCTGGAAGAGCAAGAATTTTTTTTTTAAAGAAAAATATGATGTGAAATGACATACAGAACATTACACATTTAAACTGTCTTCACTTGGAAGTGTTGTTTCACCATTTCTCCAAGACTGTATATGTAATTTCTAGTTAAAAAAATGTTATTAAAACACCCCTTTTCCTGTCAAAAAAATTTACTTTTAATGTTATGTCTTGTTCCTTTAAAAGCTTTTAAGTAAACCTCTGAAATGTACCTACTTTGGTGTAGGCTTTCTGTGCTTCTTCTTGGCACTGCAGTTTACATTACTAAGTATATTGAAAAGCCAGCAGCATACAGTAAACAGATCAGTTGTTCTATCCGTCCACCATATCTCAGCAGGATATGGTAGGTAGAAGCATGTCTGTGACCCAACTACTTGTGAGTTGAGGAGGGAGTACCACAAGGGTGTGACAGGCCTGCACTACACAGGAGACCTTGTCTAAAACAGACACAGTCAAACAAGCAGACATGAAGTGCAATCTTGACAAAGCTCAAAATCCACAAGCACACGATTAGGAAAGCACACCTTTGCTTTGGCCCCGGTGTGGTCAATCTCTTCTTCTGGGGTGTGCTCAGCACGACATTTCTGATGACCTCCTTCTTCTTGGTCAACCTGCATTTTGTCCTGGCAAGAAAATATATGAATGGATGGTACACAGCTTTCCTTTACAGCTCTATCCCTGTGTTGAGATTGTGCATACACTAAAGCAGTTCACTTTTCAAATGACAGTAGCAACAAACAGATTAACACGTATAAATGGAAAGCTATGTAAACAGACCTTCTCATTCACTCTTTTTGGTGAACATTTGCAAAAAATATAGACAACTATTCTCAAATTCACAAATCAGTATTCTCAAACTTAAGTTTTAAAAAAAAAAATATTCAACTTGACATGAAAATGTTGTGAACACCTTAGTTAGATAGGAACACAATGAACAGATGAGACTCATAGCCACAGATTCAGTTACATACTTTTACATTTATTTTTTATTTTTTTCATACAATAATTCTGATCAGTTTCTCCTCCATCTCTCACCACCCTTCTAACTTCATGCCTTCTTCCTATCTGTTACATATTTTCAAATGTAGCAAAATACTGAAGTTAATCAAAACTTAAATGTCTGTGAAGCAATGGAGTATAAACTCATAAGCTATTCATTTGGCAAACAATCTTAAACAACACATACATCTTTGAACTCTTTCTAATCACATTTACTACCATCTTCTTGAAAGAGGTTTAGAATACAGGAACCATTGTAATTCTTGTTGTATCTCAGAACCCCAGAGGCAATATAGGAACCCCAAACTACAGAGGTCACTCAGGCTGCCAAAACTCTAGCAGAGAAAGCCTACTAGATCTGAAGACTCTCAGTAGTCACTAGAATCACAGGCCATTATGGCCAGAAGACCAGAGAGGAATCAGAAACCAAGGGGGAAGACATCCAAAAGTCCTTAATTTCTTTCTTCTTTGACTCTAGTGGTCATTCACTTGAGATATTCTGTTTCCTTAAGTTTTGTAGGCTTTCTGTTGTTTTGTTGTTGAAATCCAGCTTTAATCTGTGGTGGTCTGGTAAAATAAAAGAGATTATGCCACTGTCCTTGTATCTATCTAAAACTTGCTTTGTGACCAAGTATGCGGTCAGTTTTTGAGACTGTTCCATGAGGTGCTGAGAAGAAGATATAGTCTTTTGTGTTTGGATGAAATGTTCTATAAATATGTTAGGTCCATTTGATTCGTAACATCTCTTAGTTTCATAATTTCTTTGTTTAGTTTCTGGTTGATGACCTGTCCGTTGGTAAGAGGGTAGTGTTGACATCTCTCAAATGTGTGGGGTTTGATATGTGATTTAAGTTTTGGTAATGTTTCTTTTACAAATGTGGGTGCCCCTGCATTTAGGGCGTAGATGTTCAGAATTGAGACATCATCTTAGTGGGTTTTTTTTTCCATTGATGAGTATAAAGTGTCCTTCCTATCTTTTTTGATTAATTTTGGTTGGGAGTCTATTTTGTTAAATATTAGAATGGCTGTGAGCTTGCTTCTTGGGTCCATTTGCTAGGAAAATCTTTTTCCAACCCTTTACTCTGAGATAGTGTTATCTTTGATGTTGAAGTACGTAACATTAATTTTTTCAAAGCCTACTTTTAATGATGGTTGTTAAATGCTTTAAGCTCCCATCTAGACAACCACCCACCAGAGGTAGTGGAAAAGAAAGGAGATGACGGAAGTGGACCTGTTTAGAAATGGTCCTTTGGAGCAGATCCCATCTGCATTGTCAGGAAATCAGCAGTTTAGTTCACAGGTCAGCATCGGCAGATTGATCCACTCACAAACACTTTACAGATATACTAGCAGTCCAGTTCAGTAGAGTTGGGATAGCAGCAGTGGCACAACCTAGCAGGAACAGCCAGGCCTCAGCCGAATTGGCAGGAGTCAGCAGAAGCCACCAGGAGGGATGCCAGTTCTCACCAATGCCTCTCTCAGCAAAGCAAACATCAGTGAAGAGTCCACACCAACCAGAGTTTAGCTATGCAAGCAAGCAAGCTCCCCTGACTGTCCTTTACATCCTTGTTATACTCCCTCCAAACATCACATTCCCTCCACAGGTCTTGCCTCAGAAGATGAAAAAAATCTCCCATGCTCATGGATCAGTAGGATTAACATAGTAAAAATGGCCATCTTACCAAAAGCAATCTACAGATTCAATGCAATCCCCATCAAAATTCCAACTCAATTCTTTACAGACCTTGAAAGAGTAATATCCAACTTCATATGGAAAAACAAAAGGCCCAGGATACATTCCTGTATAATAAAAGAACTTCTGGAGATACCAACTACCATCCCTGATTTCAAGCTCTACCACAGAGCTATAGAAATAAATATCACATGGTATTGGCATAAAACCACAAGTTGATAAATGCAATCAATTCAAGGATCAGGACATAAATCACATATCTATGGATACCTGGCTTTTGATAAAGAAGTAATAAAGACAGACAGACAGACACACAGACACACAGACACACACACACACACACACACACACACACACACACACAAATGATCTTTAACAAATGGTGCTGGTCTAACTGGATGTAGGCTTTTAAGAAGGCAAACAGACCCATATCTATCACCCTTCACAAAACTCAAGTTCAAGCAGGTCAAAGACCTCAAAATAAAACCAGATACATTGAATCTGGTAAAGAGAGAGAGAGGGTGGGGGGGAGGGAGTGGGGGAGGGAGGGAGGGAGGGAGGGAGGGAGGGAGGGAAGAATGGAGGGAGGGAAGGAGGGAGGGAGAGAGAGAGAGAGAGAGAGAGACAGAGAGAGAGAGAGAGAGAGAGACAGAGAGAGAGAGAGAGACAGAGAGAGAGAGAGAGAAGGAGAGGGAGAGAGGAGAGAGGAGAGAGGAGAAGAGACGGGGGGAGGTAAGGGGAGGAATAATCTTGCATTGGTGGAGAGGGAGGGACTTGGTGAAGAAACAGAGAAATTGCAGTTGGGACATAATATATGAGCGAAGAATACATTTAAAAAATTTACTAGGGCCGGGCTGTGGTGGCACACGCCTTTAATCCCAGCACTTGGGAGGCAGAGGCAGGCGGATTTCTGAGTTTGAGGCCAGCCTGGTCTACAGAGTGAGTTCCAGGACAGCCAGGCCTACACAGAGAAACCCTGTCTCGAAAAACCAAAAACCAAAAACAAACAAGCAAAAAAACCCAAAAAACCAAGTAAATAAATAAATAAATAAATAAATAAATAATTTACTAGGGAAAATACCATGGACCATAATTCAAACATTTTTAAGCTAATAGTACAACTTTGATCAATCAAGAAACAAAAAGATAAATAAATATGGATCTTGTTAAATGAAACATGCAACTTCCCAAAAGGGGAAAAATTGTCTCGTAATAAGATAATCCCTCCTCCATTTGAAATGGGTCTTCCTAATGTCCCTCAGGTATGGGCTTAATTAACCATCCCATTTCAGACTCCTGAGTAGTTGATACTCTGGAGACCTTCCCTAATTATTTTATGGGTACAAATGTTTTTTTTTTTTGTCTGCATGTATGTTGGTGTACCAGTTGTGTGCCTGGTACTTGAGCAGGCCAGAAAAGTGTGTGAACTCTGGAACTGGACTTACAGGCAGGTGTAAGCTGCCACGAGAGTGCTGGGAAGTAAGCCTGGGCCTTCCGGAGGAGCAGCTCTTCCACGAAGCCATCTCTACAGCTCTCACAACAAGTTTTTACAATTTTTAAGTGAAACTCTTCTGTAGCCATGCTGACTTCAACCTTTCTGCAAATTTTCTCTTCCCCAGTGCCAGAATTATAAGCATAAACCACACATTCTCTCTCCCTTCTCTCCCTCTTCCCTCTCTCTTTTCCTCTCTCTCTGTGTGTGTATGTGTTGTATTTGTGCATGTGCTCAGAGAGGCAGAGTTAAAGGCCAGCCTGATTGACAGAGTGGGTGCCAGGTCAGCCTGGGCTACACAGTGCAACCTGTTTTGAAAAAAAAAACCCAAAAAACAAAAAACAAAACAAAAAACAAAAATACTTTACAAACACAATTGAAAATAACATATAAATTGTGCACATTAAAAAGGTAAACATTTGGGCCAGGCGGTGGTGGCACACGCCTTTAATCCCAGCACTTGGGAGGCAGAGGCAGGAGGATTTCTGAGTTTGAGACCAGCCTGGTCTACAGAGTGAGTTCCAGGACAGCCCGGGCTATACAGAGAAACCCTGTCTCGAAAAACCAAAACCAATGAACTGGGTTTAACAAAGGCAAAGGTGCATACCTATAATCTCAGCATTCTAAAGATGGAACCAGGAGGATCAGGAGCTCCTTTGCCTTCAACTACATAGAGGGTTTCAGAGCAGCCTGGGTAGCTGGAGATCCTGTCCCAACAGTTCCCTATAGTACTCCTTCCTCTGCAGTATTAGCAGTAAATTCAGTACCTCATAAATCTGCCTTTGAGTGTCACTGGACATATAGCATATCCCTTTGTTTAACTGCCATAGATACCCTATAACTAAACCGTGAAAAAACTTTAAGAAACCATTTAAGAAGCATGTCTTTAATCCCAGAATGCCAGGAGGCAGAGGCAGGTAGATACCTATGAGTTTGAGGCTGATGGCTACATAGTGAGACCCTGTCTAAAAAGAACATCTAGTTATAAATAAAATGCACATTTTAAAGAATTTAGTAATGGATTTTAAACTCACATGTTCCATATAAGCTATGAAAGACGCCTTGGCCCTGTATTGTAAATGCAGACAGTGCAGACTATATCTAAACTAAAAGACTTCCTTAGTATGGTTATAAAGATAAGGCCCCACAGAAGAAACCCCAAGGCTAACCCTTGGGAATTAAGGTACTCACTACTGAGGTGCTTTCTATATCCCTGGTGAGGGGACCTTGAGACATGGTTTCTACCTACCACATCCTCTTTGCCTTCATTCTTAGGAGCTTCTGTTTCCATAGGGGCATCGTTATGATCACCTTCCAGATTCTGCTTCTCAATTACTGATGCACTGGCCACACTGAAGATTCCGTGGATATTAATACGAACTTTAACTTTTACTTTAGAACTATCACCATCAGACTGTGGGAAAACATTCTGAATAGTGAAGTTTCCTTAAGGAAAGAAAGCTTTGATTAGTGTATGAACCTTGGATCAAACTCATTAAAGGATTTAGTAAGCTAGTCATCTTTAAGACATATGTAGAAGATAGGATTAAGTTCTGGATGACTGCCATGGGACCAGTGCTGCGCTCAGGTTATCGTCTTTATAGCATTTACAAGCTGGCATAAAGACTTACACATTAAATAACTTGCTAGGAAAATGTGATTTTGATATTATTTATATATTTATCATGTGCCTATGCACAGATATAAATGCCACTATCAAGTGTGGAGGTCAGAGGACAACTCTCAGGAGTTGCTTCTCTTTTTCTAACAAGGCAGTCATCTGGGAGATTAAACTCAGGTCTTCAGGCTTGGTGGCAACTGCCTTAATTCTACATCTTGCCAGACAAAAAACTGAGATTTTAAACTAGGGAAAATTTGAATCAAAAGCTAATAAACAACTTTGAGTAACTTATAATTAAAAGCCAAAATAATAAAGTCTAATTTCTAAATTTGAAACACACACACATACACACACACACACACACACACACACACACACACACACACACGTTTGCTATGATCTTTATAAATAAAAACTGTTATCACAGTACATGAATAAAGTTCTTCTAAACATTAAAAGCAAAATTGATACCAAAATTAGTGATATCAAGTAGAGAGAGAAAGACTAACAGGCCAAAAGTAAGCTAGGCCAGCAAACAAGTTTGGCTTGTATTTTTACAGGTTGGGTTGTACCCTCAATACTCCTTCTAATCGTGCTTCATGAAGTGTCTCACACGGTGCTGGTAATTAGTGATAGTAGATACATTTCTGGGTTTTCTGTTTGATTGTTTTTAAGAGGGCATTAAATTGAAGATTAGTTTCCTTATCAGAAGGAGATATTTAGGAAAGAGAGAGAAGCATGTGACAAAAGAGAATACCATGTGACTATGACAATGGCCATCTACAGAGCAAGGAGATCGACCTGGAGTGGATCCCTCCTTTGGAGTCCTACTAGGAAACACACTTTCTATAGCTCACTTCAGAACTCTAGCTCCCAATGATGACAATAAACTGCTGCTGCAGAAGCCATCGAGCTGTACACCAGTAGCAGCCATCAAAGCCAGCATAACCTGCACTAACTTCCACTGCATTGGTATTGTACTTTCTTATTTTCAGTCTACCAACAGAAAAAAATTAAATTTTCTTTTAAATATTATAAAATCATATTTTATATTGTCATCATTTAAAAATAAACAGATAAAATAGACATCACAGTTTCCTATTTGCTCTTCCATATCACTCCACAATATAGCTTCAGAATCACACAATCATGTTAATAATACAATACAATTTGACTAAAAGTGTTTTTCATTAAATAACCTTCACAAATTTTTCAGGCCAATTTTATAGCACTTAGAATACAGAGTCAATGAGAACAGGAAGAGGACCCTGCATAAAGCTCAAGTACAAGTAGATCAAGGACCTCAACATAAAACCAGATACACTGAATCTAATAGAAGCGAAAGTGAGAAAGAACCTTGGCACAGGGGGAAATTTCCTAAACAAAACTCCAATGGCTCACATTCTAATATCAAGAATTGTAAATAGGACCTCATGAAACTAGAAAGCTTCTGCAAGGCAAAGGACATAGTCAATATGACAAATAGGCAACCTACAGATTGGGAAAAAAATCTTCACTAACCCCACATCTGATGGAGGGCTAATATCCAAATATATAAAGAACTCAAGAAGCTAACCACCAAAAAACCAAACAATCCAATTAAAAACTGGGGTATAGAACTAGAGAATTCGCAACAGAGCAATCTCAAAAGGCTGAGAAGCACCTAAAGAAATGTTCAAAGTCTTTAGTGATCAGAGAAATGCAAATCAAAACAACCCTGAGATTCCACTTTATACCAACCAGAATGGCTAAGATCAAAACCTCAGGTGACAACAAATGTTGGTGAGGATGTGGAGAAAGAGGAACACTTCTCCATTGCTGGTGGGATTGCAAACTGGTACAATCATTCTGAAAATCAATCTGGAAGTTCCTCAGAAAACTGGAAATAGATCTACCTGAAGACCCAGCAATACCACTCTTTGGCATATACACAAAAGATGCCCCACCAGGCCACAGGGGCATGTGTTCTACTATGTTCATAGTGGCCTTGTTTGTGATAGCCAAAAGCTGGAAACAACCCAGATGTTCCATGACAGAAGAATGGATACAGAAAATGTGGTTCATTTACACAATGGAATACTACTCAGCTATTAAGAATGAGGACATCCTGAGTTTTGCAGGCAAATGAATGGAACTAGAAAATATCATCCTGAGTGAGGCAAGTCAGACCCAAAAGGACATGTATGGTATGTATTCACTGATAAGTGAATATTAGCCAAAAGAAAAAAAGCACAGAATAGCCTAGATACAGTCCACAGAACTCAAAAAGGTCAACAACCCAAAGGGGCCAAATGAAGACACCTCAGTCTCACTTGGGAGAGAGAAGAAAGCAATCACAAGAGGGGAAGGAGGGAGGGACCTGCGTGGGAAACGGGATGGGGAGGGGGAGGAGGGGAACATGATCAGGTATTGGGTGGGGGAAATGGACTGAAGCCATGAGGGCCAGCAGAAAGAATGGAAACAGGCAACCCCTGAGGTAGGAGGTGGTGGTGCAGACCCTCTTGAATATACCAGAGACTTGGGAGGTAAGAGACTCTCAGGACTCAAAGGGAGGGACCTTAGATGAAATGCCCTACAATGGGGAGAGGGAACTTAGGGTTGCCCTCCTCCTCAGCTTCTTCTAGCTTTTTCCTAATTCAACCACAGGGGTCAGCAGTTTCTGTCCATTGGTTGGGTATAAATATCTGTATCTAACTCTTTCAGCTTCTTGTTGGGTCTTTTAGAGGGAAGTCATGCTAGGTCCCTTTTTGTGAGCACACCATAGCATCAGTAATAGTGTCAGGCCTTGGGGCCTCCCCTTGAACTGGATCCCACTTTGGGCCTGTTGCTAGACCTCCTTTTCCTCAGGCTTTTCACCATTTTTATCCCTGCAGTTCTTTCAGACAGGAACAATTATGGGTCAGAGATTTGATGGTGGGATGGAAACCCCATCCATCACTTGATGCGCTGTCTTTCTGCTGGAAAGAAGCTAAAAGAGTTAGATACAGATATTTATACCCAACCAATGGACAGAAGCTGCTGACCCCTGTGGTTGAATTAGGAAAAAGCTGGAAGAAGCTGAGGAGGAGGGCAACCCTATGGGAGGACCAGCAGTCTCAATTAACCTGGACCGCCGAAATCTCTCAGACACTGGACCACCAACCAGGCAGCATACACCAGCTGATATAAGGCCTCCGACACATATACAGCAGAGGACTCCTTGGTCTAGGTTCAATCAGAGAAGATGCACTTAACCCTCAGAAGAATGGAGGGCCCAGGGAGTGGAGAGGTCTGGTGGGGTGGGTGGTAGTGGGATGGGGATATCCTCATGGAGACATGGGGCTGGGAGGCAGGTATGGGATGGGGAGCAGTCAAAGTGTGGACCAGGGGGATAAAATCTGGAGTGTAAAAAAATTTTAAAAAAAAGAGCATGAGAAGATAACGGGGTGTGACCAAACATACTGCATGCACACACATACACACACACACACACAACACACACATATGCACACATACACACATAACACACACACATACGCACACATACACACATAACACACACACATACACCCCTGAATGAAAATGTCATAATGAGTCCCGTCATCTTGTACAATGAATGTACACTAACAAAAATATAGACATCAAAACAAATAAAAACAAAGCAAATATGCTACTTTTCTACAAATAAACTAAGCATGAAAAAGTTCAGCTACAAAAAAGTACAAATTTCTTTAAAATATAGGACTAATTTAAATGAAATGTTAATCTCTGCCTACTTCATTCTATATATGGTTTATTAAAGGTTAAACATTTTTTGTTGTTGTTGTCTTACCAATTCTTGGATCAGGATAAGGCACTTCATGCAAATTAGTATAAAATGCTTCTAGTTCAAATGGTTCCTTCTTGTGGAAAGTTATGACCTTTGAGAATGGGGCCGGGTGGTTCTTAGAGAAGACTTCACATTCCCTACAGCACAGTGGGAAAGACTCATTTAATAAATAGGTTGTCTAGGAACACAACATCAGAACAAACTTCACTCTTAATTCATGAGCAGCAATTGTAAAAAAATGAACAAATGTAAGGGGAAAAAGCTATGGGTTTTTCTATCTTCAACAGGTTTACAGTTTAAGGCTTTCTGAATGTCTACCATAATCTATCACTGTACACCAAGAGAAAAACTTACCGAGGAATATGCATATCGTGAAGCTGTATGCAGCAAGGGCCAGGCCTTGCCTCATTAACTCTCAAACACTTGCCATATGCAGCCCTTTGAACTGCAGCCCCCCATTAAGTACATTTATTTGGAAATAAATTTACATTTACAGAAGGGTACAGATATAAGAGCAGGACAGAGTGTCTGGGTATCAGCCACCCAGCCTTGCTTCCTACTGCCCTTTACCATATTTGTCTTGTCATTTGAATGCACGGATAGACTATGTGCACTTACTAAACAAACTGAACGTGATACAATGTGTTACATTTCAAATACTTCAGTGTGCATGTCCTAAAGGGAAGTGTCTGAATGTTCCAATTGTTCAGCTTATGCCTGTTCACACTATTTTCTTCCTCCTAGGACAGGACATTTTAAACTTGCAGTGATCTCTATTACTTAAAGAATATATTAATCAGTACTACAGAGCAATACAAATAAAAATGGCATGGTACTGGTACAGAGACAGGCAGGAAGATCCATGGAACAGAATTGAAGACCCAGAAATGAACCCACACACCTATGGTCACTTGATCTTTGATAAAGGAGCTAAAACCGTCCAGTAGAAAAAGGACAGCATTTTCAACAAATGGTGCTGGTTCAACTGGAGGACAACACGTAGAAGAATACAAATTGATCCACACTTATCTCCTTGAACAAAGCTCAAGTCCAAGTGGATAAAGAACATCCACATAAAACCAGATACACTGAAACTAATAGAAGAGAAGGTGGGAAGACCCTCGAATACCTAGGCACAGGGCAAAAGTTCCTGAACAGAACACCAATGGCTTATGCTCTAAGAGCAAGAATTGACAAATGGGACCTCATAAAATTGCAAAGTTTCCTTAAGGCAAAGGACACTGTCAATAGGACAAAACGGCAACCAACAGATTGGGAAAAGATCTTTACCTATCCTATATCCGATAGAGGGCTAATATCCAAAATATACAAAGAACTCAAGAAATTAGACTTCAGACAACCAAATAACACTATTAAAAATGTGGTACAGAGCTAAACGAAGAATTCTCAATTGAGGAAACTCGAATTGCCGAGAAGCACCTAAAGAAATGTCCAATATCCTTAGTCATCAGGGAAATGCAAATCAAAACAACCCTGAGATTCCATTTCACACCAGTCAGAATGGCTAAGTTCAAAAACTCAAGTGATAGTAGATGCTGGAGAGGATGTGGAGAAAGAGGAACACTCCTCCATTGTTGGTGGGATTGCAAGCTGGTGCAACCACTCTGGAAATCAGTCTGGCAGTTCCTCAGAAAATTGGACATAGCATTACGTGAGGACCCAGCTATACCACTCCTGGGCATATACCCAGAAGATGCTCCAACATATAACAAGGACATATGCTCAACTATGTTCATAGCAGCCTTATTTATAATAGTTAGAAGCTGGAAAGAACCCAGATGTCCTTCAACAGAGGAATGGATACAAAAAATGTGGTACATTTACACAATGGAGTATTACTCAGCTATTAAAAACAATGAATTTGAGAAATTCTTAGGTAAATGGATGGAACTAGAAAATATCATCCTGAGTGAGGTAACCCAATTACAAAAGAACACACATGGTATTGACTCACTGATTATTGGATATTATACCCAAGATTCAACTCACAGACCACATGAAGAAGCTCATGAACAAGGAAGACCAAGTATGGGTGCTTCAGCCTTCTTAGAAGGAGTAACAAAATACTCAAGGGAGCAACCATGGAGACAAAGTGTGGGACAGAAACTAATCTGAAGACCATTCAACCTGGGTGTCCATCCCATGTGCAGTCATCAAATGTAGATGCTGATGTGGATGCCAGGAAGTGCATGCTGACAGGAGCCTGAGATAGCTGTGTCCTTAGAGGTCTGCAAGAGCCTGACATATACAGAGATGGATACTCACAGCTAACCATTGAACTGATCATGGGGTTCCCAATGGAGGCGTTAGAGAGAAGGAGCTGAAGGAGCTGAAAAGGTTTGCGGCCCCATGAGGAGAGCAACAATACCAACCAACCAGAGCTCCCAGGGTCTAAACCACCAGCCTGGGAGCACATAGGTAGGGACCCATGCCTCCAGCTGTATAAGTAGGGAAGGATAGCCTTCTTGGGCATAGGTGGAAGAGGAGATCCTTGGTCCCATGAAGGTTGGATGCCGAGTGTGGGGGAATTTGAGGGTGGGGGGGTGGGAGTGGGGGTTGGAAGGGGGCACATCCTCATTGAAGCAGGAGGAGGGGGGATGAGATAGGGGTTTCCTGGGCAGGGGGGAAATGGGGAAAGGGGATAACATCAGAAACATGAATAAAATGTCCAATAAAAAAAAAGAAAGGGCTGGAGAGATGGCTCAGCGGTTAAGAGCACTGACTGCTCTTTCAGAGGTCCTGAGTTCAAATCCCAGCAACCACATGGTGGCTCACAACCATCCGTAATGAGATTGGATGCCCTCTTCTGGTGTGTCTGAAGACAGCTACAGTGTACTCACCAATAAAATAAATAAATAAATATTTAAAAAAAAAAGAAAGAAGAATATAACAGGAATGTTTATGGCTATTTACTATATAACATCATTTATTACCTAAGTGACACAGGACTTAAAATACACAAACTTTTCCTTCTAGTCTTCAGGAAGCCACTAATACTTTCCTCCATCTTACTGTGCTCACTGCCACACATGCTTTTAAGTTTAGTTCTCTCATATTTGGAATTTTTTTCTTACTTATACATTTAACTGAAATTGAACTCTACAGAACAGTTCTTAAGTTAATCTGAAATTAAAGTGAGTCATCCAAATGCTCTGCAATACATTCATAGAGAGTTGTGTCTTAGTTAGGGTTTCTATTACTGCAATAAAACACCATGGTTAAAAAGCAAGTTGAGGAAGAAAGGGTTCATTCAACTTACACTTCTACATCACAGTTTATCATCAAATAATTATAAATCAGTTTATAATGTAAATATCTATTTTTATGATGTTCTTAGATGCCCCCTGAGAAAGGGTCATTTGATTACCAAAGGGGTGTTGACCAGTAGGTTGAGAACCACCGCTCTACAGGTTGGCCCACAGCCCGATCATATGGAGGCATTCTTTCAATAGAGGTTATGTTGATATGTTCATCATGGTTTGCAAATGTATTATTTCTTACAGTCTCTTTTCTCTAATACTATTTAGCATATTTAACAGAATTTTAAGAATCATAAATTCCTCTAATTTAGAAAAGGCAGATTATTTTGGCGAAAGATAAAATATAATGAAAAATCTTAAAACAACCTACCCAGTCCCTTCTTCAAAAGAAGTCTTCCATCTTAATGTGACTGAGTAGGGAACAAGGTCCGTGATGGAAAATTCACGCACTTTAAATGCTGGTGAGAGGATGGCACACTGAGAGCAAGAAAGGAACTTAAATCAGCAAGTACAATCATATTCTAGGGAAGCCATCATTAAATTGGTTAGTAATATCTTTACATTAAAAATTGTTAAGATTTTAAATTTTGCTACATTTTGGTAATGATAAATGAAACTTTAAAAGGGCCCAATTATTTTATGTAATTTTATAAAAGCTAATCTAAAAAGCTTTAAATTTCCAAGGAGCTATTAATGGATATAAGCTTATTAATTCAGTTTTCAGAACATAAACACATTATCCTATGTCAGTTTAAAAGTATAAGCAGAACTAGGCATGATGGTGCATGCCTTTAATTTCAGCATTTCAAAGACAAAGGCAAATACATATATATATATATATATATATACACATATGTATACATATGTATATATATGTATATTTATGTATATACACATGCACACACAGTGTTGTGTGTGATAGGGGAAGGGAGAGAGGGAAAGAGACACACAGATGGACAGAGACAGACAGATTTGCCAAGAATAACCTCAATTTACTTTCATCCTATTGATGGGGTGAGTGGAATGGATAAAAGGCCTCTTTAGACTTGTCATACTGTCCAAACTACCACAGAACCCTTACCTGCAATGCACATCCTCGGGCAACGGCTTCATCAGCATTTAGGGTGGTACTGATGTCTTTTAGAAAGAACCTAGTGACCTGCTCCTTGACTGCAGGAATCCGAGTGGCCCCTCCTACAATTTCTATGCTGTTTATGTCTTCACGTTGTAAGTCTGGAAGTAAAACGTTTTTCAGTGAAAGAATGAGAAGTATTAAAAAAATTCATGGCCAGGCAATGGTGGGGATGGCTTTAATCCCAGCACTTGGGAGGCAGAGGCAGGCGGATTTCTCAGTTGGAGGCCAGCCTGGTCTACAGAGTGAGTTCCAGGACAGCCAGGGCTACACAAAGAAACCCTGTTTCGAAAAACCAAAAAAGAAAAAAAAAAAAAAAGAAAAAATCATGTACACTAGCTGTTTGAATGAATTTTATATGTAAGAGGATTTTTTATTTGTTCAAAAGAAAAAAAAGTAATTATGGAATAGGCAAATTGTAGCATTGTGTGACACCACTGAGTGTGTCCAGACAGCAGTGACAACAGGGACAGAATAATCTCCTAAGGAACTCTAAAGCTCTCCAGAGCTTGTCACCTTCCTTACTTATACATTTTGGTCTTATTAAAGCTATTTAAAAAGTTATCTTCAAGACAGCAATCATGTCCTTATTTCTGGTTTAATCTCCTACCAAAACCTTATGAAATTACATAAAGCACCAGAAATACAGTTGAAAGATTTATGATGTAAACAATACAACAAGCAGGGAAACAGAAAGCTAAGCTTTTTGCATCCAGTTCTATGAATGAATGAGTTGTAATTTCTTTTCAAAGTGAAAAATACAAAGCAAAGCAAAACAAAACAAGAAGGAAGTTGTCATTTCGACTTACTAGCTTGATCCATTACTGCTTTTAATGGTGGTTCAACCCTGGCCAAGAGGGAAGCACACAACTGTTCAAATTGAGCCCTGAGAAAAATGATATAAAAATCATTATTTTGGAGAAGGAAAGCAGAACATACCCTCTAAAGCAACCAGAATTTGGGGAAAACCCCCCAAACATGACCCAAACAGAAAATCAGCAAGCATACTTCCCCCAACTGAAAGCACATGATACCTGTTCATCTTACTAGAAACATCGAGGTCATTCATGAAACACTCGATGTTTAGGGGAAGATCTGATGCATTTGCACTCATCAGCTTCTTTAGTTTTTCACATTCCTGATACAGCCGCAATAAGGCCCGAGAATTTTCTTTGACATTTATCTTATATTTGTTCTTGAATTCATCACAGAAGTAGTCTACTAAAGCCTCATCAAAGTTTCTGCCACCCAAATATGGATCAAAGGTAGTAGCCAACACCTGTTTAAATGAAAGAAATAACTAAGTTTTCTGAAGTACAGTGTCTCTTCACTACTTTTCTATTGCCATGACAAAACACCATGACCAAGGCACCATCTAAAAGACAACTTTAATGTGGGGCTCACAGTTTCAAAGAGTGAGTCCATAACCATCATGGGAGGAAACATGGCAGCAGGTTTGCAGGTACAGTGCTACAGAACAAGCTGAGGGCTTTTATCTTGAGACATAACCACAAGCCAGAGAGAGCTAACTGTAATGTACCTCCTCCAAGGCCACACACCTCCTTACCCTTGCCAAACAGTTCCACTAACTGAGGACCATGTATATTTAAACATAGGAGCTTATGGGGACTAGTCTCATTCAAGCTACCACACTCAATTTCCTGGCCCCTATAGGGTTATAGCCATGTCATAATATAAAATGCATTTAATTGAACACCAAAATTCCCATTGTTTTTTTACATAATTTAAAAGTCTGAAGTCTCTTTAGAAACTCAAGGCAATCTTTGTATTATAACCTCCTGCAAAATGAAAATCAAATAGCAAAATAAATACTTCTAAATTAAACACTTCTAGCAAAAAGTGGGACAAAATGTTATTACCACTCCCAAAGGGGGCATAGTGAGGATATACTGGACAAAAGCAAGATCAAAACATGTCAGGGCAATCACCAAATCCTGTTCTTGTGTCAAAGCACGTAGATGGCTCCCCCTTTCTGTTTTGCTGTGTACAACATACTTCTCTTTCTTAGACTGGTTCGACTCTGCATGAAGCTCTCTCCAGCAGATATCCCACTGCTCTGACATCTTTGATAGTTTAGCATCTCTAGAGCAACCCAGGCTTTACTTGCACAGCTTTATGCAATGACCATCAGGGTCTCCATGTAGGGACTCCCCTGCTATATATTCCTGGCCTCAGTGGTTTTCTTCAACTGTGAAGGAAGAGTCAGCAATCCTTTTTCTCATGCATTCTTTATGACTCCATTTGTTTATCTTCCTTTCTTTTTGAGAGAGGGTCTTTCCATATAGACTTAGCTGTTCTAGAAATCCTACATAGACTAGGATCTTGAACTCATAGAGATCCATCTGCCTCTGCTTCAATTTATATTAAAATTAAAAGTGTGGCTTCCTTCATAACTCTAAAGCCAGAGCCATGGGTACTAAATTAATCTGTTTGCTTGGGGTGAAGCATGGCCCTACCCTCTCATTGAATTAAATTTGAATAAGTTTTCCTTAGCAGTTGCTTTTTAGGCAGAGAAAACTAAAATTCCTTTGGCCCTTTCCTGTCACACGTTACAGAGTTAGATGGGTGGCACCTTGCTCGGAGGGCACTACTGCCTTTGTTTCATTTCTGATCAGACATCTCCTTTATCATTTTATCTCCTTCAGCACAACCCTGGGCTCCAACATGAAAATTTCCTGGTACTCTCCCCTTCAAACTATTCATTTTGTATTATTTTCCCCCCAATTGCTCTTTTTCACTGTAGACATGCGTAAGAGTGATTTACTAATAACCAAGTGATAGAGTCAATATTAGGCTATTTTGAAATCTCCTTCACCAATTAAATTAGTCTAAAACTCTTCAATTTAGCCTCCAGAAGATTCTTACAACAAGGACATAAAGCAGCCATGTTCTTTGCCAAAATATCTTAAGAATGGTCTCTAGTTAACTTGCTAAAATTGTTTCCTCTGGAACTTCTTGAAATGGCTTCCATAGTCCACATAGCACAGCTGTCTTCCAAGTTCCCATGCTTACAGGATTCAACTGCATTTCTAGTCCTAAGTTCCAAAATATACATTCCTCCAAAATAAACATGATCAGGCCTGTCACAGCAACAGGTCACATCAGGAGCCATCACAGGAGAAGGTAAATCTAGCAGGTGATCTTCCTGAGATGTTCCTCCTTGGATTAAAAATCTACGACAGAGCCCTGATAGACAAGGCCCAGGAGAAATTCATTTTAGGAAAGATTCCTGCTATTAAACTGCGTCTCCTGTTAACAATCACTAGGTATGAGTGCATCATTTGGAGCAGATCTCTGCAGAACAACAAAGATGTACTGTCTTGTAGTGATGTTATATAGACAAGTAAATGATTTCTTAATCCTTAATGATGATTCTATAAAAATTTCTAAATTTATAGTCATTATTAAGCTCTTTTTTGTAACACTGCTATTAAATCCTTTGTGATAGCCAAAGAACTCTGCCAGGCTTCAGTGTGATGAGTTAATTCATTCTGAGATAGTAAGCAGGCATTTTAAGAGGTTGTAAAACTATTAACCAAAGGTCATAAAAAGGGAACCACAATTTACTATAGATGCTAGGACAGGATATAAAATATTGACTGGGTTTATCTATACAAAACTTCACTAATACCTTGGTGACAGAAGTTAAGGTTTTTAATTCTCCATCAACCTGCCAAGCTTGTTGAAAGGTGACGAATGTTTAGCCAGATAATTACTCCTAATGGATATGCATGTTTATTCTCTGTTGTAAACTTATTTGATCTATGATTTGGATTTGTGTGTAAACTTGTGAACTTTTTACCATGTGATCATGTATTCTGAAAGATGTCTAAGAGCTGAGGACACAGAAGAAACACGAACTGAGCTGAAGACTCCTTTAGACAGAACTAAACTGAGGAGAAATTTTTAGTCAGAACTGAACTCAAGAAGGACTTAGAAGTAAAGACATAACACTGGGAGTAATAGCATTGAGATTAAGGGCATTATTGTGACATCAGAGCAGGAGGAGAGAGCAAGATTAGAAGGAGAATACAGAGTGGAATAACTTAGAAAGTATAAGGCAATTTAAAATTCTAAGACAGCAAAATGCAGAGGGAAAGAGGAAAAAAGAAGCTGCAGAGACAGCAGAAGGAGCAGGCAGGCTTCTCCTTACCATGGGGCAGAACAGGTCTTCTTTATAGCAAAGCAGGCTTAGTCTTACTAATGAGAACAAAGCTTTCTTCTTACAGACTTAGTTTAATTCATTTAGCAATAAAAGGGTAGAAGCTTTTACTTCCTCTATGCAATAAACATTGGAGCTCAGTTTTCATCCAGAATGAGTATGTTCTTTCTGCACTGGCGCCTGGTCTTTTGTTGTATATACATATGTAAGTATGGATATGGGTAAGTATGGAATTATGAGATTGCATGAAAACTGGGCCCAGCTGCTTCACATGGAGATTTAAGAAATGTGAATGCATGAATCTGTATATGAATTTATGTGAGTTTAATCCATATTTGCTTGTGTAAAAGTTTTTCCTTCTGTGTGATTCTCTTCTCCAGGTTCAATAGAAGTTCAGTGATCCCTCTAGCCTGACAAGCAAGAGGCATCTGGATAAAAGGGAAAAGGCTCTAGCAATTAATCCTTTAGTTAACACCCTGCTGTTTTATGATGATGTGCTAAATGCCAGGGACTGCAGTTTCTGGCCTCAAAGGGACTCAGGAAGCTTTAGCTACAGCAGCAAAGTACCTTAGACTTAGATAAGTAAACGTTTTATTACACAGCCACCCTAAATATCTTGTCTCCACTGTCTCAAAAAGAACCAAGCACAAGAAAGAATACCCACCGGGGCTGCTCCCCCTCCCCCCCCAGCAAGTTCACTCCCGGTACCAACCTCTGTCTTAGTTACTTCTCTCTTGCTGTGATTAAATACTGTGACCAAGGTAACGTAGAAAATGTTTAAATTTGGGGCTAGAGCCTACAGACACCATCTCAGGGACCTTGGCAGCAGGCAGCCAGGAATAGTTAAGAACTTAGATTCCGATTCACAAACAAATATGAGGGAAGGAGAAAAGAGGGGGTAGTGGGGAAGGAGAAAGAGAGAACACAAACTGGGAATGACAGGTTTTTAAAATCTCAAAACTCACCCTTAGTTGACAAACTTCCTCTAACAAAGTCACAACTCCTAATCCTTCCCAAATAGTTCCACCAATTGGAGACCAAGTATTTAAACATATGAACCTATTGGGAACCACTTGCATTTAAACCATCACAAACAAAAAATTAAACAAAATAAAAAAACCCTCTAAAATAATGAAAGTTAAGGCCAACCAAAAGAACCCGTCGTCAATCACTGGATGCCAAACGTTTTGTTAAATTATCCTTTGTACCTGGCTCAGTTAGTTCCCTGCTCTTCACTACCTGCTCTGTAGTTACACAACTCTACGACACACTAAAAGAACAGGTTTTTTCTGAAATAACTGAGTGACAACTAAAATTTCATTAATTTACATTCATTGGTTCTCTAATATATGAACCCCAAATGAATACAAGTACAAGTGGTGCTATTTTTCCAACAGGCTCACAAGACTCCGTGAATATAGAGTATCCACAGGGTCCAGTACTGCCCAGTGTGAAATGCAAAATCATCCTTCCATACAATGATGTGTGTATTCAACTGAGAATCAGGGCCATTAGGTCACTGCATTTATCAGACTTCAACAAGACTAACTGATGAAAAAGTATTGATGACTACACTTAAAAGCTAGAGAGGAAAAAAAAAGAAAAATTCACTTTTGTTACTAAGTTAAAATTTAAGACTAGAGGCCAAGAATTAAGGCAACATACACAAAACTACCTATAATTTCAACAATGTCTTTTTTCCTTCATTTTCTGATTGTAAGGATTTTGTTATAGTACTATGAAGGTAGTACCACAAGGTTATGGACACTGATAACACACACAGATATATAACACATAGAATATATAATGCATAGAAACTGATAGATGCCACACATTCCAAGTATTATGTATCTGCAGAAATCCTAGGAGACTCCCCCACAGGCCTAGTAACTTATAAGTCTCTGGAACAGCAGGCTGCAGGGATGCAGTCTCTATGAGTCATCACACTGCTGTAGGCTTTACAGTGGTACAGCTGCCACTGAGTCAGCTATGCTCCTGGAAACTCCTTCCTTTATCCATACTTAAGAAGTTCTAGGGTTCACTTTAAAAAAAAAACAGCTAGGAGGTTTTCATCAGGAAGAGAACCCTAAGGTCAAGGACAGCTAAGAAACTTGCTGATGGTCATTCTGTTGTTGTTTTCTTTTTGTTGATTTTATGTATATATAAAATATATACTATATATATTATATAATGAGAATGTTTAGATTTATTTTTATGTATGAATGCTTTGTCTGCATGCATGCCTGTGCACTATGTACATACATAGTGTACTCAGAAATCAGAAGAGGACATCAGATCTCCTGGAACCAGAGTTTCTGGTGGTTGTGGACCAACTATGGGTGCTAGGAACTGAACCTGGGTCTTCTGCAAGAGCAGCAAGTGCTCTTAATTGCTGGGCCATCTCTCCAGCCCTGCCTTGATGGCTATAATTTTAAGTGGCAGAATAAGACTTTAAGCCCAAAGTTATAAACAAAAAGTAACTGAGCTACTTACTTTAAGTTTTCCTTTGTTAAAAGCACAAACAGAGACCTGATAGGCAGAATGTCCCATGTCGATAAACACAACATTCCTTGGCTTCTCATCTAATGAGGGGAGATCCTGCTTATAAATTCCATATGCCAGTGCAACTGTGTGAGAACAAATATTAGGTTAAATGTTGTATAGCTTTGGAAAACAAGACAAAGGAAAGTCATTTTTACATTGTACTTTAATATACAGCATGGTAAAATATAGATTCAACCTATATTAACTTTGTATAAATTGCTTAAGGTTTTATTTTCCTGATTCATCTGTAAAGAGTTACAGCAGTAATCATTCTTCAAGTTCAAATATGAATTCAACATCTGCCAAAATTCTGTATTCCAAAACAAGAAATTATAAAAACCACAAGAGTTGTAAAATGCTGTAGAGAGAAAAATGCAAACTTTTTAAGGTAGCCATCACTAACCTGCAGTGGTTTCATTCATCAGCCTCAGACAGTTTAGGCCTGCAACCTGGGCTGCGGCCATCACGGATCTTCTCTCTGCATCGGTGAAAAAGCTCGGGATCTGGTAAGAACAGTCATAAGTTATTGCATCTCAGTGTCACAGACTCAATAGTAACTGCAGGAAAACATGTAACTTTAAAGCAACTTAACATGCTAGTGTGGGTTCTTAAGGTGGCTACTTACTATATCACACACAGACCGGATCTGTGATTAGTATGGCAGGATCACCAGTTCTGTTCGCCTCAAACAATCAGTGTTAGTCTGGTTACTGGGCTTTAGACTGCTGTCTCTAAGGCTTATGTGTGCTCCTTCAGTTTGGACCTTGTGGAGGTAGACTCTAGTTAAAGACGCTTAAATGAACTGAGAGGAATACTCTAGAAAGGGACGATGGACTCCATCTCTATCTGGATTCCTGTGTGGCAGTCTGGTCTTTTCTTCATACATATTCTTGCTAATGATGCTGTAATGTCCTCACTACAGGACAAACTAATAGAATTGCCCATTATTAATATTTATCCTTCAAATCTATGAGCTAAATAAACTAGTTTTGTTACAAAGGTAGGCTGTCCTCATTATTTTAATACATACTGGAAACTTGACTAATATGTTAGACTATTAAAATACTAATCCTAGGCATAGTGGTACACAACTTTAATCCCAGCACTTGGGAAGCAGGGGCAAGAGGATCTCAATGAGTTTATGGCCAGTTAATTTCAGGTCATCCAGGACTACATAGTAAGAACTTGTCTCAAAAAAACCACCCTAAAATAAGTTAATTCATAAAATAAAATACTAGTCCATCTTTAATAATAGAAAAGTGAAACCCTAAGACTACACTAAAATAAGATTAGGTATATCTAATATAGTATATCCATATAGTAAAATCCTGTGTAGCTAAGGTCAGCTAGATCTCTAGTGTAGAAAAATTATATTATTGTAGAAAAATAATATTACGTTAAAAAAAGGACATGCGGGAGCTGGAGAGATGGCTGGTTGGTTAAAAGCACATGTTATTCTTGAAGAGTACTAGGGTCCTGTTCTCAGTACCAAGATCAGGCAGAATTTCCTGTAACTCCAGTTCCAAAAAACTCTGAGGCCTTCTTTTGGCCTCTATGGCATGGCACACATGGCACACACATCGACAAGCAGGTACACATACATATGCATAACAAAAAATGTTATGCAGAACATAATTTCATTTCTGTGAAACATACAGACAACTAGAAGATGAAATCCAAGTGTTTAAAATGGTGACATTTCCAAGGAGAAGAAATACAGAAAAAATATTTAGGAAGTTATGAAAAACCTATTTTATAGCCATCAAAAATACTGTGTTTACACTAAAATGTTAACATCCAGCTTAAAATATATACTTGTTTATTCTTATTTATGTCAAGATAAGAAATGCTTTGATTTAGGCCTAAATTAAAAAAATAATTATTGACTATATCAACGTACAAAATAACTCAGTGCCTTGATGACCTCAGGGTGCTGGGATTCTTGGTATAAGTTACAATATCCAGCCCACTGTTGGTTTCATTAGGATGTGTATGTGGGGATTGTACAATACCACATCATGTGTATAGAGGTCAGAGGACAACTTGTGGAAGCAGCGCTCTCCTTCCACCTTCACATGGGTTCAGAGGGCTGAATGCATGGCATCCACTTTGAGGAGCAAGTGCTTTACTCACCAAGCCATCCCATTACCCCCCCCAACTTAAGCAAATTGTTTGCTGTTGTTTTTTATTTATTTAGACAGGCTTTTACTATATATTGGCTATCCTGGAACTCACTATATAGATCAGGCTGGCCTTTAACCCAGAGATTTGCCAGCTTCTACCTCCTGCGTCCTGGGATTAAAGGTACATGACATCACATTCAGTATAAGTTTTAAGTTTTGAGTCAGCAGTCTCTATTTTGGTTATGTTGTGTTTGATGTATATTTTGTTTGTCCTGGATGTTAGTATTCTCTTAAAAATCTATAAATGAATGAATATGTATGGTTCATATAATATTCATAGAATAATTTATAAAACACATGCTTTTGTAGTTGTGACAGATACAGTAACCCACAGACTAGAATTGTCCTCATAATGCTTACAACTATGACAGAGAGACCTTAGGACACCTATACCAGTCTTAAACGTATTCAAAATGGTAACATTGCAAGCACATTGTTGGAAATGAATTACCTTATTTTTTCCAATATAAAAACTAGGATGTAGTAGTCTATCCTTATGGGAGAATCTCTGAGGTTTATTGAATGCATTAATACACATAAAACTACTACTACAGTACCTAGGTCAATGGTAAACACCATTAACTGCTACTTATAAATGGTTACAAAGTAAAATACTAAGCTGGAATGTTTCTTTCCCATTCCATTCAAATAATGAGAATATTTGATGGTTAAGTTTACTGAACAGTCTATAACTTAATTCTGTTTTCTGACATGAAACTCTTCAATTTATGAAGTCAATTTTAATATATTTACACTAAGTTAAAACATGTAAGTTAAAAAGTAGTTAGCATTAAATGAGATTTCAAGAGATAGGCTATGATATATAAATATTTTATTAAGGTCCTTAACAAAGAATTTTTAAATGTTCTTCCTGAGACAGAATATCTATAACTTCAAATTCCCATCTGTAACCTCACATCCCTAACTTTGAATTTTTTATTTCCTCCCTAAAACATTAATATATTTAAAGTTGGGAAGTTAAAATCTATTTAGGAAGATTATCTTTTAAAACTTTTTAAAGTTACATCCATTTAGTGTATCTGTTGGTATAGATTTGTGTGTGCGCATATGTGGGAGGAGGTACTCAGGCAGACATTAGAGGAGAGCCTCAGGAATGAGGTCTTCTCTTTCACCATGTGCACTCAAGGGATCAAACTCAGGTCCTTTGTCTTGGTGGCAAGTGCTTTTACCCCTTAAGTCTTCTCACCTGTCTGTTAGGAAGACTCTCACATGTGGCAGTGGCAGCAGCCACTAAAATAATAAATAGTAAAACACACTGGTTTTTGAAAGTTTTGCTGATTATCAGAACTGACTCAATAGGAAAGGCAACTCTCAACTTTACCAAATAAGGCAGCATTTAACAAAGAAAAGGCAATATAAGGTATTTTCTGACTGAAGGGAGACATTACAAAGAGAATCCTTTCTTATGGATGTCAATGCACTGCTGCTCACCGAGATCACACAGTCAGCCACTGGCTTCTTCAAGGCATTTTCTGAGGTCTCTTTAAGCTTAGCCAGCAACATTCCTGTGACTTGCTCAATTGCAAAGGGCCGCTCTTCTTCCAGGTACCGCACCTACAACCAAGATTGATGTGCTAAGAGTCGCCCACTCACCCGGCATGTGCTCTCAGCATCACCTATCTATATGTCATGCTACCGTGGAAACTAGCAACACTGAACATGCCTTTCATTTTTAGCTCCACACAAATAAGTACACTACTTTGAAGGGACCTCTTACGCCCTTGTCCTTAAAACCATTCATTTTTATCATTCACTTTCCAAGTGTGATAAAAATAATGAAGAAAAAAGATAAAATTCTTTTTTTAAAGTTAGTACTCAGTTTCTGTCACATGATTTTGAAAACAGGGAACTTAAAACACAAGGAAAACAAAGGGAAAAAAATCCATATTAAGAATATGTAACGCCGGGCGGTGGTGGCGCACGCCTTTAATCCCAGCACTTGGGAGGCAGAGGCAGGTGGATTTCTGAGTTCGAGGCCAGCCTGGTCTACAGAGTGAGTTCCAGGACAGCCAAAGCTACACAGAGAAACCCTGTCTCGAAAAACCAAAAAAAAAAAAAAAAAAAAAAAAAAAAAGAATATGTAACATGTATTACACCAAACTTCCCAGGATTAAGTGTGGATTAAGTATAAGATTTAAAATTAATGGAGACCAGGTTTGTGCTCTACTTTATTGCCTAACTGTGTTGCATTTAGGAATATAAGATAAACCTAAACAAGGAACCTGTACTTTAAACTAATTTAACCTTTATGACACATTTAAAAGCAATACAGAACAGGCTAGAGAGACGGCTCAGCACTTAAGTACACAGACTGCTCTTCCTGAGCTGGACTCATTGCCCAGTAACCACATGGCAGCTCACAGGCATCTCTAACTCCAGTTCCGGGACTCTGGCCTCTGAAGGCAACAGGTATGCATACACATACTGCAGGCAAGACACAGTGAGAGAAATACAATATAAAGTGACATGAAGAACCTAAAACACCTGATATTTACTTCTAGATTCCCCCAAAATGCACCTTTATTTCATGACACTAACCTTTGGAAGAGTTCAGGAGAATGTTTTCAAGACTAGCAATGTATTTAAATATACATTTTTACATATATCAATATGTAAAAATAAGCATATATCTAACAAAATGAATGATTTTGAACCACAACTAAAATTCTTTTCTACTGTTTCCAATCCATGTAGAAATAACTAAGTAACAAATGCTATTGAATTGCTACCTTTAAAATGAGAGGGTATGGGGCTAGAGAGATGGCTCAGTGTTTAAGAGCACTGGCTGCTCTTCCAGAGGACCCGGGTTTAATTCTTAGCACCCACATGGTAGCTCAGAACTGTCTATACCTTCCGTTCCAGAGGATCTGACACTTTCATACAGATACACATGTAAGCAAAACACCAAACCACATCAAATTAAAACATAAATTACAAATTACAAATTAAAGTAAGGGGGTAACACTGAAGTAAGAGAGTGAATCATGCAGCACAGTCTTATAATAACTGGCGGGTGTGGTGCACAGTACTTCTTTGTATAAGGGTATCTAAAGTTTAGAGTTAGTGAGTATCAAGTACATTCACATGAATCTCTAAAAAGAACAAAAGGGGACAAAGTACACAGGGCTGCCTAGCAACACTCAGCAATACTCAGATGGAGAAGTGGACCACAGGATTGACTCTTTAAACTATCTTAAAGTTTAAAGCCCTTTAAAGTATCTTATAGACACACACTATGAATACACAAACTTCTATTGCTCAAAAATTACTTTTCTCTAAAAACAGTCTTCCCAGTCCATTCACAAACTACCATCTATGTTACATATGTGTGCATGTGTGTGCATATGTGGTTTTTTTCTTTTAGTGCTGAGAACCAAACTCAGGTCCTTGTGCTTGTTAGACAAGCACTTGGTGGCTGAGCTAAATAAATAGTCCACCCTTCTGTTTTTTGTTTTTTTTAAAAATAAAAGCAAAATATTTTAATGACCTTAAATTGTAACCTCTAATGGGTAAGATTGCTAGGTGGATATTTACCAGGACCTCACAAACCTAAACATCTGACTTCAATTTCCATCTTAGTTACTGCTAGCATAGCTCAGTTATCTGGCTCCACTGAGCAATCCTTGAACCAATCCTTGACCACAAATTATACCAAAGCATACCTTCAAAATGTATCTGAGTCTTTACCCTCTCAGGGGCATCCCTGACCTATCTGAGCAAATTCTTTCTCCTTATTAAAATCTGCCATCTACTCTAGTCAGAATCCTCTTCTAAAACTGGAAATACAGGCATACCTACAGCACAGACACATCAAGCTTAGAATTACTAAAAATAGCTGTAGGGAGATAGCTGCATAGCATAAAGTTCCAGAGAGTATACTTTAAGGGGGTTACAAAACTGTGCATGGATCTCCACTTTCTACTTGTAGAATGTTTTCATCACCACTCCAAAAATCTCCTCATAGAGTTAGCTATGCATCCCATTTTCCCTTCCCCTTAGCCCTTAGCAGTCACTAATCTACTTTCTGCGCATATGGACTTACTGTATTCTGGATATTGCAAATAAAAAGACTCATACTAAATCATGTGGACTTTTGTGCTGGGGTTCCTCAACTTAGCATGTATTTTAAGTTCCTATATGCAGTAGTGCATGTCAGGCCTTTCTTTTTATAGCTGCACATCATTCTACTGTATAGATATATTTCCCCTATCTAACTCACGATGAACACACAAGTATAGTAACTTTGTTACTATAAATTACACCATTAATGTTATATGTTATATATATATATATGTTCATATATAGGAACTTTGTGTACATATTTTCAACTCTTTCGGGTTATGGAGTAGTGGAATTGTTAGTCATACACTGACTATACACAAGTATCTCACTAGTGTGTGTTGGCCATTTTCTACTTTAAGTGTCTAGAATATACTCAAAAGCCCAGAATCCATATCTTAGAAGAAAATTTGCTTTAGTACTTTTGAAATATTACAAGGTTCTTATAAACTTGAAAAACTTCTGGCAGTTATACTACTCTGGGATGTATTCTTCTAAGGCACTTGTGGCTCTGCCTTTACTCCTACAAGATTTTCACCTGATGATGTTCTCCCAGTGATAGTTGTTTCTTTCAAACAAAAGTACTAAATTTAAAAGTTATCTAGGCTAGAATGGTTTTTTTGCATTTACTAAAATTAATGCAAACCTATTTCTTAGGCACTGTCCTAATTTGGGTTTCTACTACTACGACCAAACCAACTTGGGGAGGAAGGAGTTTATTTCAGCTTACAGTGTTAATTCCATCATCCAGGGAAGTCAGAGCAGAAACTTGCAGGCAGGAGATGATGCAGGTCATTGAGGAACGCTGTTTACTGGCTTGCTCTTCATGGCTTGAACATCTTTACTTTCTTATACATCCCTTGACCCCTCCTGCCCAGAGGTGGCACAACCACAACAGGCTGGGCCATCCACTTCTCTGACTAAGAAGATGTACTATATGTAGATTTGCCTGTAGGCAAATAGTTGAGGCATTTCCTCAATTTAGAGTTCCCCTTCCCAAATAACTCTAAAATGTGTCAAGTTGACAATAAATCAGCCAGGACAGATGTCTTGAGAAAGAAAATTATACTTGAGGTTTTGATGGTAACATTCTCACATTATTCTTTCTTTTAAAGAGACACTGCACTCTCTAAACACAAAGCTTACCTTAACACCCGTGCTTCCATTAGGCATCTTCTGCAGTTCATAGGGAAGTCTGATTCTCTCCGTCTGCACAATGGGGTCATCAAATGATCGCCCATGAAGCTTTTTGAAGCCATGAATTGTATTTCTTACATTTGTGACTATCTGTTGGCAATACACATTTGAAGTCAATTACTTTATGAGGCAAAATAAGATACTGTAATACTTAAAACCATCAAATCCCTACTCCCATACACTTAAATTCAGAATTTTACTTCATTTTCTTCTTTTCCAACTAGAAAGCAAGATTATAGTGTATGTATCTTAAGTATCTCTAAAATTCTCTTCTTATCCTAGAAGTTAGTGAGAGACTGAGAGGAAGAGAGAGAGGATGATAATATAAAACCTGAAACTTTTCAAGTAATACGGTGTAAATCTATTGACAAATTATCCCTTTGCTTTCATCACTCTGAAAATTTTATGTATGCAATTATTTTGCTTGCATGTATGTCTATACACTACTTGCATGTCTAGTGCCTGATGAGGCCAGAAGAAGCCATCAAATCTCCTGGAACTGGAGCTATAGATGGCTATGAGTCACTATGTGGGTGCTGAAATCAAACGTGGGTCCTCTGAACAACAGGGGTATTCTTGGCTGTTGCACCATATTTCCAGCCCCCTTTCAGCACTTTTGGTCTGGTCAGTGAATTACTATCTTTGATTTTGTGTTTTCCCCTTACTTGAATTTTTTTATTTTATTTTTAATTATGTGTATGTGGATATGAGTGGGTGGATGCATATGAATAAAGGGCTCATGGAGGCCAGAAAAGAGAGTCACATCATAGCTGGAGTTACTGGTATTTCTGGGAAGCTAACTCTGGTCCCCTGCAAGAGCACCTTGTACTCTTAACTACTGAGCCACGTCTCTTAAACCCTTCCCCATGTTTCCTGTCTTTATTTAAACTGTTTTTTAATCATTCAGTTTTCTTTTCTTCTCAATATACATTTTCTTGTGAGGTATCTTATGCATAATATACTGTTCTCATTGCTGAGAATCACCTCTAGGCTCGTAATTAAAATCCCTTCCATGTAGCACGGAGCTAAGCAACACTATTCATTGCAAATGACCGATATTTTGGCAAGATAATTTTTTTGTCCAAACTACATTGTTACTGAGATGCAGTACCTGCTTTCCTAATGACTTTCAAAGTCAAAAAGATCTTGAACTTGCATCATAGGATGAAAAGGTAGGGGTGCTCAGTTAACTTAATTCATGGGAGATACAATATTAAAGGCTGCTTTAAACAAAGTAACATTTCTGCTAAATTTAAAGCAGTCATAATATGATGGTGCTAGAAAGATGGCTCAGTGGTTAAGAAAGCTTGCTGCTCAATCATGAAGACTTGAGTTTGGATCCCAAAACTCATATCAGGTGGCCTGGAAGTCCTTTAACTCCAGCTCCAAAGGATCCAACAATCTCCTCTGGCCTCCATGTACACTGGCCCCATTCCTGTATGCACACACACAGACACATAGATACACACACACACTCTTAAGAACACCAAAATGTGATGTATAAATTAATTAAGGGAGCTATTTTTAGCAATAATTAACATTTATATACAATATGACATAATTAACATTTGTATACAATTTGATCACAGAAAACATCAAACACTTTCACAAATAAAACAGTTATAAAAGACATTCTTTCAAAACTGTGAGCAACAGTTGGAATAAATGAGTAAGTAATTCCCACACAGTCACAAAGGAAGAATGGCAGATTAAATTGCAGACTTTTTGAAAGAGGATTTCATGTAGCTCAGGCTTGCTTTAAACTCACTTGAGATGAGCCTTGAATGCCTGATCATCCTAAGTCAGCCTCCCTAGTGCTATGTTTACAAACCTGAAAACTGTAAGAAAGACCCACCCACACGTAAAACATCAGACATAACTACCAAGAGCTTTGGTTTAGGGAAATAAAGTCAAAGCAATCTAACACCACCAAGATACCAGGCCAACTTAAAGTTAATACTCCATTCATGTGCAGTTCAGGAGCCTGGAGATATGCTTAAATTTCACGGCCACACTGAGCCACTCTGGAAGCCATTCTGGAAATTTTCTACTTTGTTTCTTCTACTTTCTTTTGCTAAAACCATTTCTTGTTAGTCACTGAATGATCTAGAAGACTACCCCCTCTATAGAACATGATCAGACAGGAAAAAATCCATATGGAAGGACATTCCAACTTTACAAGTTTTTAAATAAATAACATGAAAAATTAATCTATAACTCAAAGCAACTATATTTCTCCCTCTTCTTCCACACTCCTACCCTTTTTTCTCTGTTTTTGCTTTGAAAACAGTATCTCATGCAGCTTCTGCTGGCCTTGAACTCAATCCCACTGCCTCAAGAACTGGGATTATAGGTATGTGCCATCACACCCAGCAAAGCATCTCTGACAAAATACAAAGGTGCTAGACTCTGCCCACTTGCAAAACTCAACTACATACCATGAAAACTTACCATCGTACACTTAAGTTTCCCTCTAAGTCAAAACAACCACACTAACAACATACCTGGCTCTTAGCTGCATTTCCAATGGCTCGAGTTCTGGATCCCAAAGATATACAGGCCCTGAAAAAGATGAGAGCAACAGTTCCTCTGCTTCTCTGTATACAGTTCATGTGGTTTTACAGTTTATGTGGTTTTATATGGTTCTCCTTATACTAAAATAAATTTAAAAGAATTAAAACAATAATTATTTAAAAATAGGTGGTAGAAATAAAAACTTTACATATTCCAAACTTTATATCAACAGAATGGTGATCAGAATTTTAGAATTTAAAAACTATCCTAGTAATTGCCAATACTGTATTGGTATCAAAATTATTTTTCAAATTCTACTGGTGTGAGACTTATTAAAAGGTAGTCATATTTAGCAAGGTAAGGCTCCTTAGATTTGCGCTCTGGCTCTGTCATTCAACAGCTAGCTATCTTGTGGGAGTTATATAAGTATCCTTTCCTTCAGTTACCATATACTGACGGTGATGATAGCACCTGCTCATCAGGTTATGTGAGGATCAGGAGAGTGAATGTAGGTGTTGAGAAATGCTTTCAACACCTGGCACATAATGAAAATGAAAATTCTTGCTATTTTAATCTCATCTCCATGTTACATGTAACATAAAGAATAACATTTTTATCATATGATTGAAGAAAATGTTTCCATGATTTTAGTTTTAACTGTAAGAAACTATTCAATCAACAAACACTGTATATACACAGGCCACTTCCTACCCTTGGAGAATTTATAATTTAAAATTCAACAGAATATATAGAAGTATGAAAAAGAACAGCCACTTATACATAACAGGGCTTTAGAGAAGCAATTTCTAAATTAAAACTTGAAAGGACATCAAATTATTTAATTTGTAGCTGTTTTGTGGAAAAGGGCATTTCAGGCATACAGGTGGTGCTGAGGCTGGCTATGGTTTCCTTCTAAAGATTCATGTGCTAGAAACTTGGTCCCAAAGTAATGACACTGAGATGGTAGCACCTTTAAGATGTATTAGTCTAGGAGACAGATTATAGTAACTCTGAAAATCAGTGCCAATTTTACAGAAGTATGTTAGGCCCCTTACACATACAGCATGTCCCCTTTCTGTTTCTCTCACATGCTGTGACACAGCAAGAGGCCCTGGCTATAACACTAGCAAGGATGTATCCTCCAGTCACTAAAATCAGGAGCCAAGTAAGTCTCTTTAAAAGTTATCAAGTCTGACACTTTCCCATACAGTCTTATATAAACATTCCTTCCTGATTCTCAACAGAAACATCTCATAACATCGAAAAAGCAATTTTACTTTTCCATAGTACATATTATCATCTAATTCAATTTAATTCTCCAGCTTTATCTCTAGATCAAAATGTGAAATCTGTAAGAAACAAGGTACACTGGTTTCATGTTCAATATGGTAGCCAATGTTCCCATGTGGTCAGTTAAATTTAAATAACAAAATCTTATGCCTCAAAATCAATCTCATTTCATGTTCCTTACACTCACATGTAGCTAGTAGATAGAAAAATCCCAAATAAACAGAGAACAAATATACATAATAGAAAGTTCTACTGCACAGCACTGGCCAGGATTACTGACTGGGAAGTCACACAGGGACCTTGTAAAATGAACAGAAATATGGATCCAAATGGTAACTAGGAATAACACAACTTGGCTACTTTCATAAGAGGATTTGATTAAGGCAGTGTTATCAAGGCCGGACTGTAAATTTGAAATATTTGCATCAAGTAATGGGAATCCATTAAGTTTCTGAGTAATAGTAATAGCCATATGGTGATGTACAATATAAAACAAAGGCTGTATTCCAGAGCATGGCTTAAGGGCTGGCAGTGCTTCACTGAGGCCCGCTGGACTTTCCATTCAGCCATCTCTTTATCTGTCTGCTCCTCTCAATTTTGTTACATAAGCTTTAAAAAAATAGCCCTATTTTTCTTTTCCCTGTCCCTTATCAGGGACACAAATCACAATATTCTTAGTTCTTCTGTCACTGTGTTGTTGCTTGATGACCAGTGATATGAGATAGCTAGCAAGCTCACTTCCTTGGAGAGCCTTTCTGACCCTCTTCTATGTTGCTAGTTTGGATCAGAATCAAATTTTCAACAGCTAAGCAACTTGCTTGTTTCAACTATAGTGCCAAGGTGTCTGTAGAGCTGAATTTCTCAACCATGGCAATCCTAACATTCTGGGCCAGATACTTCTTTTGTTGGGTGAGTGGAGCTATGCTGAACCACTGCATGCTGACCTCTACCCACAAGAAGCCAACTACACCTTTTTAAAAGTCCACTCTCAACTGTGACAACAAAAGAATCTTCAGGTAAGTGTAAGACGTCCCTGTGAGGGCAAAATCGATCCCATCTGAGAGCCACTGCCTTGGCATAGATCTCAAGAGTTGTAAAACACATTTCTTTAGACATTAAACTAAGCATGTCAAACGTTCTGTTCTTGAGAGACTTTCAATGTTTGAAAGTAAAGGGACTTCAGTTCTTTGGAGAAAAAGACATCTGAATAGTGTTTAACTATTGGGGGGGGGTGCGGTGTCATGGTAGAAGATAGGAAGGGAGAAAATCTTCTTAGAATGGCATCTTGTTGCTACAGGCTTTCTTTTTTCCCTTTTCCTTTTCCTTTTCCTTTTCCTTTCTTTTCTTTTCTTTTCTTTTTTCGAGACAGGGTTTCTCTGTGTAGGCCTGGCTGTTTTACCGGATCAAAATGATGGTCATTAATTAGTATAACAATTATAGACTAAAAAGACTACTAATGGCATGTGATATATCACAATTTTATAATACCTATTATGTAATATCAGATTCCTCACCCCTAAGATCAAGATCAAAGAAGTGACTGGGGAATCATTTTGTTTTGTTTTGTATTAATACTTGAAGATTTTTAGAGCAGTCTTATGTTTGGCTATGTTCCAGCCTGTACTAGCAGCCCTTATAACCCCCTAAACAAATTTAAATCAAACAGCATTAATAGCAAATATGGTTACTGAATATTTGTCAGAAGCAAAATAATCATCTGTAAAGTCCATAGTAGTTTATCATCCACTAAATGTCAATTCTCAAACAAGTCCAACAACAAACCCACAAAGTAAAAATAAACAAAAAGGTAGTTAGTGTAACATCTGCAAAAATAAAATATAAGCAACCTGAAAGTAGGACATGGTATTAATGATTATACAACACTAAAACTAATGGAATAGAAATATTTTACATAGAGGTTACTTAACAGAACATCAAGTTTTCTATCTTAAAAACAAATAGAAAACCACCTGGAAGCCTTACCTTTGGACAGAATTATAATTTTTATTTACATTTTCATGTATCTATATTTCTAAGTTTAATAATTTTTCATAATAGATATGCTTAATAAATCATGAGTAAATTATTGGCCCTGGAATTATGTCAGTTACATGATTAATGTCCACATCTGTGTATCTAGAATTTCGATAGATAGAGATGTGATGTGTCAATCTAGAAAAAGAGGAGGTCTAAAGCATTCTAGACTACATTTGGAAAGAAATCAAAGCATTCTGTATTCACTAAAGCTACTCTGAAACATACTGTCATATTCTTAAACTACTAGAACTGTTTTAAACTCGTCACTTAAAGATGGTTTTATACTAATCTTGGCTGACACTAATTTAAAATATAGTATGGATCATTCATCTTTCCAAAAAAATATACATGAACAGAACTTTCCTCATCAAATTATAGGTTAACAAAAGTGTACAAAGAGTTTTTCATATGCAAGTATTAGTTGTGTTCTTTGCCAACAAACTTTCCAGAAAGGAGAAAGAAGTGAACGTGTGGACACATGTTTCCATGACATAATGCTACAAACAAAGTCTTTCATCAAGAGTTCATAATGGAAACACTCCACAATCCTGTTTATACAGGATAGTTGCCTCTGACTCACCAACAATTCACTCTGTAGAGACGCACGTTAGGTAGTAGCTTCTAACAACGGCAATTTCCACTAATTGAAAGATATTGCCAATGTACAGCTAAGAGTCCCATTGTCTGAGTCTCTCAGAGTGAATGCAGTGTTAACCTAATCCCTCCGGAAACTGGTCAGATCATCTCAAATTCTCAAGGACATCACCTCATCTTTCCTTTCTATAAACACACAGCTAGGCAGATAAATGAATAAAAAAAATGATTTCTAGTGTTAGGAAAACTGCCATTCGTTTTCTGAGGTGTGCAATAAACCAGGGGTCACTTTTCTGAGAAAGCTGTCGCTCAGGAGATGGGGGAGGGAGGACAGAATGCAGAGCTCTAGCAGGCTTCCTAGCACAGGATAATCCCAGGTCACCCTTCGCTGGGTGCCGCAGACCTTTCTTCCCTGAACCGGACTCCACGCAGAGGTGACCCCCCTATTAGTCCCTCTGGCAGCCCTACGCAGGGACCCCAGGGTCAGAGACATCTGCGACAAGCAGAGGTGGGGCGAGCCGAGGAGCCAGAGGGGAGCCCCTACCCTCATCCTGGCCGTAGACGCTGCTGCACCTGTCACGGGGTGGGGGGCGTCCCGGGCCCCACCCAGGAAAGGGGGCGTGCGGCACTTACGGCGTGCACCTGTCGCTGTACTCGTTGGCGATGGTCTCGATGCCGCCGCTCCTCGCCACGGCGATGTAGCAGTTGAGGAAGCCGAGGTCAATGCCCACCACCGACATCCCGCCTAAGCCTCGGGCTGGGGGGACCGCGTCCCGCTGCGGGTCCCCACTACGGGCGCTGCGACTCCTGCGAGAAGCAAGGGAGAGGACCCACTCTCTGTCAGAAAATCTAGGGCAGGGCGTCGGAACTGCGGAGGTGGAGCCGACCGCCTGCGCCGCGCCGCCTCCGCCCGGCCCGCCGCCTAGTCTCCACTGCGGTTCGCCGCCCCCAACCGGCAGTTACTGCGGTCTGCGCAGGCGCGCTCGGCCCCGGGAGGCGCGAGCCACCGGTCGGCTGAGGCTCGGCGGCCTCGCCCTCGGCCGCTCCCGTCAGCGCTCGGCAACGGCTCGCTGCGGAGTGGCAGGTTCGAGAAAGAGCTGGAATGTGGGAGGAGGCCGCGGAGCCGCGGGGCAGGGCGGGGCGGCAGTCGTGCGACTTGAGGGGAGGCGAAGCTGTCTCCAGGCAACACTGGGGCAGCCGTGGCCGGCGGACGCTCTCCTAAGCGCCGCCCTCTCAACACTGCCACCCTCCTTGGCGTCTCTCTCCGCAGCACCGCTCGCCCCGGGCGCCCGCCCGCATCCTCCCACGGTCCCCGAGAGCTGCGGCTTGGGAGCTCACCGCCGGCCTCGCCGCCCCGCCCCGAGGGGCCACCCGCGTGCGGCTCGTGCTGAGGCTCCTCCTGCAGCTCCTCTGTGAGGTGATGCCCATTATGCGGTGCCAGGGCCGCCAGCTTCTCAGAACTACTCCGCTGCGCCCGGTCCCAACTTGTCACTTTCCAGTGCTTTCCCTCACGAAAACTGGTTTTCTAGGCCCTGACCTGCTTGCTCAGGGAGCTTCAGAAAAGGAGCCTGCCGTGGGCGGCGTGCTGCCTGTGTGCGCTTGAAAAGTTTTAGCTTACACTTACGAAGTCTGGCGGTCCTGCTCCTTTTTGTGCACATCCCAGTGCGAACTCGGCTCTTTTTTATCCAGTCCCTTTGTCCCACGTTCTTTAGGGTCCAATTCTTCATGTATCTGCTGGCTCTTCTTAACTAGTTCTTCAAGTATCTGCTGACCCTTCTTATCTGGCTCTTCATGTATCTGCTGATCCTTCTCATCTAATTCCTTGTGTAATTCCTGTTCCATCTCATCTAGATTTTTGTGTGCTTCCTGTTCCACCCTGGAACTAGACAGGGAATTTTTATCCGCATATTCAGTACTCTCATACTCCGTATTTGTGCCCTTTCTTAAGTTACTCAGACGCTTCACTATTAACACTGCTGTCAGGGCAGCAGCAGCAAGTGTGGCAATAGCCCCTGCTGTTGCTATGATGAATACAAAATACATTTCAGGAGCTATACCAAGTCAATTGGGACGCCACTATTGTTCCAACTCTAGTGTCTCTAAAAACTTTCTTGACTTCAGAGTCTGTAGGAGGCATGGTCAGTCCCACTCAACACTTTCTTAGGCGACCACCCACCTTGGCTTCCCAGCAGGCTGTGCGCACACAGAGCAGGGATTGGATGCTTCTGGACCGTCAGAACTCTGGGTCTCAGTGGCTTCCACTACTTAGTTGCCTCATTCAGCCATCATCCTAAGCGATAATGATAACAAATCTACCACTGGCTAGATTTGTTCTCGGATATCTTGAAGCTCTCCTAGGACCACTAATTTCATTTTATTTATCTATGATGTTTTTGGAGTCTCAGGTGTAAGATTTTTTTTCCTATTAAAAAAAACCTCTTAAAATATTAAGTAAAAGGAAGGCATTGATGCCAGGAACAAAGTTCTCATTCTTTACAGCTAACAGGAGGAAATGAGTACTTAGTAGTTAAAGGATACATTTTTCAGAGTTACATGGACTCAGATAGTAATCCCAGGCATCCATAACTTTTACTGCCTCTAGGACCTTTGGCAATTTGGTCAGTGTCTCTTAAGATAATACTCACTAGACTGTTTTCAGGCTCCATGTAAACACAGAATTTGTGCCTGGCATCTAAAGGTCAATGTAATTATGCTTAGTTGCTATTGGAATATAAAGATAACAGTAATTTATATTGATCCTGTATCTAGGAAACTTGCACTCTATTGTAAATTCTGGTTCTTTTTTGTGAAGGACCTCCTTCATCTGTCCTTTTATTATTGCTTTCTCTAATGATGACTACGATCACAAATAAAATGTAGAATATAAGGAATAGTAGTGAGCATACTTGTCTCTAACAGAAAATATTGTTTGAAAGAAAATTAAAAACATTGCTAGTTCGCTAAGAGTTTTTCTTCTCTTGATGCTGAAACTTAGCAAATGCTAATCATTGAATAAGATGACACCCCTATTCTCAATCTGTTACTCAATGAAAAATATTAACAAACTTTTTAACATCCTACTATTCCTGGGATAAATCATCCATCCAAAGGTGATTTGACTGTTTTTAGATATATCACATTTGGCTTATGGTTATGTAGAACATTTGCATCTCTATTCACAACTGAAACTGACCATTTTGCCAGCTTTCTTAGTTTTTTTTTTTTTAATTGATGGCCAAGACAAGTGACAGAAGAGTTTATTTGAAACTTACAATTTCAGAGCATTAGTGTTCATGACCATCATGGTGGGAAGCATGGCAGCGGGCAGGCATAGCTGTGGAGCAGTAGCTGAAAGCATATGTCTTGATCCATAAGAGGAAGGCACAGAAAGTTAAATGGAAATGGTTTGGGCTTTTGAAACCTCAAAACCCATTGCCAGTGACATACCTTCTGCAAAAGGCCCATAATCCTTTTCAAGTAATTCCAACAACTGGAGACCAAATTTTCAAATATATGAGCCTATTGTGTTCTCATGCCAACTACCTTACATGAGCTTTGTAGAATTAGAAGGGGATTCCTCTTTTCCCTGAGAAAGATTTATGTCCACTGGTTGCATTATTTTAGTGGCTATAGTTTATTCATGTCTTGTACTATTTTTTAATCAAGTCATTTTTTACCAAAAATTACTATTATATCTACTTCAAATTTGTTGACAGACATTGGCTTATTTAAGTCAGTTCTCTTATATTTTTTGTCTTTCTCCAGTCTTAGTATTACTTATGCCTTTTTTTTTTGTTCTTATCACTACTACTTAAAAGAACCAGCTTTTGGTTTTCTTGCCTTCATTATTATGTCTTAGATTTTTTGTTCAATCTGGTCTTTACTGTTTCTGTTTTTTTTCCCCTCAACTGGGGATTGAACCCAAGATCTCACACATGCTCAGAAAGTACTCTGCAACTGAGTTACAGCCCCAGCTTAATCTATCTCCCCCCTTTAATCCCTAGAGTTAAACAGCTGGTTTTATGCCAATTTGACTCAAGCCAGAATCATTTGGGAAAAGGGAACTTCAATTCTGGCCTGTGGTGCATTTTCTTAGGTGACTGATGTGAGACAACCCTGGGATGTAAGAGAAGACAACATGAGCAAGCCTGGGAGAGCATGACAGTAAGCACTCTCCCATGGCTTTTTCATGAGCTCCCACTTCCAGATTGCTGTCCTGACTTCCTTTCACAATGGTCTGAGATGTGGAAGTGTAAGCAAAATAACCCTTTTTCTCCCCACACTGCTTTGGGTCACGGTGTTTTTTCATATCAATAGAAACCCTAAGACAATATTCAATGTTTTATAAGTCATACATTTAATGCCTTAATAAAACTTTTTTTTTTTGGTTTTTCGAGACAGGGTTTCTCTGTGTAGCCCTGGCTGTCCTGGAACTCACTCTGTAGACCAGGCTGGCCTCGAACTCAGAAATCCACCTGCCTCTGCCTCCCAAGTGCTGGGATTAAAGGCGTGCGCCACCACCGCCCGGCTTAATAAAACTTCTTTTAGAAATTATTTTAGCTATAATCTTGCCCAAATTTTCAACCAGTTGAGAAAGAAGAGTAAGCAATGAAGATTAAAAATATCATCTTTATTCTGGTAACACTAATAAGTGACTGATACCCTTTTTTTTTTTGACTGATACCCTTATGGATTTGTGATTACTGAACCCCAGATGTAAGCAAACTTACCTACCTAAGCATAATATAACTGTCGCATTCAAGCCTCCTCCTGCAAAACTTATAAGAAAACTTACCTTTAAGAAGGAAGAGACCAGAATGTATGTAAAATCATAAGACAAGTAAAAAGGGGGCTAAATTATTCCCAAATTCACAAAAGTTAGCCATGTTTTCCTATCAAAGCCTGCAAGCACTTAGATAGGTTTGTTGATTTGTTTATACCACCACTTTTTTCTTTTTTTTTTTTTTAACAAACCACTCCTGGGTTCAGGTTTGTAAATCTTTCAGCAGATGTCTCTGAATGATGAACTATTTAAAAATACTATCTCAACTATTCAGTCATAATGTAGCTGAATATAGTTTTTAGGGGGAGCTGATGATTGAGTCCAGGATCCCATGCATACAAGCACGTATTTTACCACTGAGCTATATTCCCAGCTTCTAGAATCAATTGACAGTATTTCTCCTCTTTGACATCCACTATTAATGAGTCTAAATAGTAATCCATTTAGAGTTTTGGTCTGTTTTTAGACCAAAAATTTAGAGCTGGTCTGTTTTTCCTATCTTGGAATTTCATAATTATGAGTCTGTGGATTTTACTTACTTTGTGTATGTTTTGTTAACCTTTAAGGATTTTTTTCAGTTTTCACTTTGTTATTGAAAATAATGGAGAACACTGGAGAAATGCCTCAGAAGTTGAGTGATTGCTGCTTTTGCAGAGGACCAAGGTTGGGTTTCCAGCAACCACATCAAGTTGCTCATAACCAACTGTAATTCTAGATCCAGGGAATCTGCACACATGTGCTGCAGTTACCTCATGCAGACACACACACACACACACACACACACACACACACACACAATCCTTTAGAAAGAGAAGGTTTCTTCGTGACATTTTTATACACAGGTATCATTGTGCTTTGTGCAAATTCCCCCTTCAAGGTGGTTGAAATCCTTGAAAAGTATAAATCATCATTCCTTTCTCTGCTGCCTATCTCTCCATCCTTTCTATCTCTTTTGGACTTGTTAGACTCCATGGAGTTTCTTTATTCATGCCTCTGTGATTCTTAGAGCATATTTG